AAATGGAGGACCATGTTGAACCAGAGGATCGGTGGGAATCATCTCCTGGATTTGATGTTCTTGTAGATAACAAATCAGAGGATTTTGAAGCTCCTGCTGAGTATGACCCCGTGTACCCTGACGCAGAACTCATATATGAAAGAAAGATATACGATGCCTATGATCAATTAGATAATGAGCTTATTTTTGATGATGCTGGGAGAGCTTCGGGCCGCACAAGAGAGAAAATGTTGGATTCTATAGTGTCTCGGAAGAGAAAAAAGTTATTACCAATTGAACTGGAAGTTGATGGTTTGAATTGTATGGATCTTAGGGACCATCTAAGAAAACGTAGGGAAATTGACGGTTCTACTGCTCGTTTATCAAGAAGGGATGAATCAGAATACCTGCTCAGTCGCAGCCGCGAAAGGGATCAAAGGCAAGGATTGAGCCATCGACTTCATGGAAGATTGTCATCTGATATGGGGAGAAACTCCATAGAATCCTTGGGGGATAATGGAATACTGTCAAATGATGGCAGATTGCATGGATGGCATAACCATTCACAGTCTAATCGGTCCAGGCAGCGCCACAGGGAAGAAAGACTTACTAGGCGGCCTTCTTACTCGTCTGATATCTCTAGGAAACCAGTTTTGAGGGAAAGGAGATCTGCTTTCGAGCCTTCTGCATTTTCAGGACCCAAGTCACTTGCCCAAATTAAAGAAGAGAAGAAAAGGGCTGAAGACCATGGGGACTATGGAACTCTAGGGGGTGGAGCTGCAGCAGACTTCGAGGGTCCAAAGCCTCTGAGTGAAATCCTCAAGGACAAAAGGAGATCGAATAACGTAGCGGACGACAATACTAATGGTAGCTGAGAGAAGAGAGCGGGCAACCCTCTTTTTGTCCAAGAGCATTCATGATCATCTCGAAAGTAGGATGATAATGATATAACAGTTTGGTTTTAGATAGTGTTGTGTTAATTTCTTGTGATCCTTGGAATATGTTGGCATCCATTTGTTTACTGTTGACTAAATGGAGATATTTTTATTCCTCATACTAGATGAGGATAACATTTCTACATCTGTATTGAGAACATGGGTTTTTTGCCACCTTGTTTCTGCTTAACAGTCAGTTCAGATTTTTGAAGATCAATTTTTCACCATCCTTCAAACAAAAGATTTAGTTTAACTGCGCAAAAAATGGGATTTTAAGACAAAAGCCGCCATATTTCTGCAATCATTTTTTTCTCTTCTCTGTTTTGGTTGAAGGAAATCCTCTGGGTAGTTGACTTTGATCACAAAGGTTGGACTTTTTCAGATATTTGTTTCTTGGATTTGGCTTCTCGGACATATCTGCACAGCATATGTATTCATAACATCTGAGATCTCTCATGGACATAGAATATCTGATTCTTGATTCTTTCTCCTTTTTTCACTAATGGGGAAATACCATTTCTAAGTTTGTATATATGCATATAAAACCATCAGATTATACAGGCACCAAATTAAATCTAATTTAAGAGAATAATCTGGTCCTCAAAATAAAAAAGATTACTGTCACCTAATGTGCCTGTAATATGATAAGAACTTGGACATTTATGATTTTCTGACTTAATTTCCCTCTTACTATTCAATGAACCAAAAAAAAAAAAAAAGAGAGGATTATATAATAAATATATATATATATATATAGATATCATTTCCAAAATGTGAGTCTTTTGATAGCTAATAAGGAAATTTTTTTTTTTTTTTTTTTTGAGTAAATAAGTTGGAGATATCTTAATAATATATATTTATATATATATATATATATAAATTATGTACATATATTTCAGTAAATTTGGTGGAATGAATTAGGCATAAAGCACCAGACCATTAAAAAATCCAACTTTAAAAAAAAAAAAAAAAAAGGCCAAATTTTGAGGAGAGTTTGTTAATCGTGTTAAATTGTTAGGCTCTAAAATCCCGAAAGCTGTGTTAATCTTTTACCTGTGTTATTATCCGATCTTCTCTGTATAATACGCCCCAACCGAGATTCCTTTTTATGAATTTTCCCCATTTGTATTTCTCCTTTTTCATTTTCGTCCCTCCTCTAGTTTCCTTTTATAGCCTCCCCCACCCCAGCACAAGAATAATATTATAATACAATTAGGTTATCTTCATTTTTCTTCTCCTCTCTTCTTCACATATACGTATACGTATACGTATACATATACATATACATATACATATATATATATATGTATGTATTTATCATCGCTGGTCTCCATCATTTTCCTCTAAGAACCAAAACAGAGGATTAATCACAGAGAGAAACTAAAGAATATGGCGGGGTTGCAGAGATCTACGACGTCGTTTAGGAGGCAAGGATCTTCTGGGTTGGTTTGGGACGACAAGTTCTTGCAAGGAGATCATCACCGTCATCACCATCATCATCGGGGTAATCATAAAGAATCAGTCTCTTCTGCCACCATACAACGTAGCCGTTCCGTCGACGGCGGCGGAGGGGGGAATTCCCCTTCGGACTGTCACTGTCGACGCACCTTCAACGGCGCCGGCATCATCCGCCTTGGACCCACCTTCTCCTAAGTATCTGGTTGCGGGTTCTGCGGAATTTTTGGAAGATCGACGACGGCCACCCACCAAAGAAGATCGCATAATAAACACAGGTCGTCGTAGGTCTCTCGTATGTTTTCATGCACGTAAATTTCTCAACCATTTCCTTTTTTTTTTGTTCGTTTTTTACATTTTATTTCACTTTTGATCTGTATATATATATATATATATATATATATATGAAAGGATTAGCAGTTGATGAATCCATTTTATTTCAGGAGGAATCGACTTATAATAGATGCATGCATGGATTTTTCAATGAGATTTTCAGAAACTGAAATTTTAAGGATGCTTATTTTTTTAATTTCTATTTCTGGCTTTGAAGCTTCAAGGGATTGTCTTCTTCCCCCCCTCCCCCCCTAATTAATTTCTCTGTTTGGATAATTTATTTCATAATTAGGATAATTGGAATTTGATTAATCCCAATTCTGATCAATCTGACATGGGTAATTTATACATTCACAAAATTAATAATGTTATTTGGGATTCAGAAATTCTTATCAAATTAAATGAGACAATTGTTATGAATATTGAAGGATCCATGTAATATATTTAAAAAAATAAAAAAATTTATTTTACAAAATAAATATATATATATATAGAAGTTATTATTATATATTATATTTTAAATTTATTTATAGAGTTAATTCATTTATTTTCAGATACCATATATATATATATATATAAATAATTTCTCCTAAATAAATTCAATTATTAAATTAAAAGTTAGTGATAATATGAATACTGTAGTTGGTATAAAAGGAAGTTGTGTTTGATATTGATGTAAATGGTCTCTAATTCCATATGCAATCCTATCAAGACTGCCGGCCAAAATCATTTTCAATTCTTGATTAGTTAATAATTAACAAATGGCCAAAGCATATATATATATATATATATATACATGCATATATGAGATGAAGATAGTAAAATATTTTCATCCATCAAATGATTCTCTTCAAATTGCTCTTCATTTGAACCATGTATATATATATATATATATATAATTTGTGTGGTTGAAAATTAATTAACAAAAAATATTCCTAAAAATCAATTAGTAAAGTACTTAATACTGATAATGGCACGTCATCCTACCAAAATTAACGTATAAAAACCATTAGTTAATATCCATTAAGAGCTTGATTTTTCTACTAATGAAGCTTAGTTAATTATTTATAGTATACGTATAATATTATTTTATATATTAGCGCATGACCCATTTCTTAACTACTCTATATGTATTATTTGAACACATAAATTATTTAAATTAAAAAAGGAAAAAGCCAACATATTCAACACGTCATAATATAATAATATTACGAGGACAAAACCATGAATAATGCAGCCAATTAATTAATTAATTGTACTAATCAATTTTGCTGTTACTCAATATTTTTTTTTATTTATTATTCGATTACTTAATTATCAATAATTCCATAAAATTTAATAAATATATATATACATATATATATATACCCAAAAAAAAAAGAAGTAAAATTCTGCTGTAAATTCATATCTTCATTCGACATTTTAAAGATAAAAAATGTAAATAACTCATAAATTTCACCTCTTTTTTTTTTTTTTTTTTAACCCTGTAAAAATCATCTCATCCAAACACAAAAGTTAAAAAAAAAAAAAAAAAAGTCAATCTACACAGCTCTCCCAACTTTGGTTTTAAATAACAAAACGCAGAGTTTCTTCTCCATTGAAAAGTAGAGAAAATAGCCAGTTGAATGGGTCACGAATGACCCAAAACTCGAGCCCACAATGCAATGCCATGCCGGCCCATATACTTTATCGAACTCCTGCACATATATACACACACAATATCAAATCACATGGTACAGAATTACCCTTTCTTCAGTTTCCAAATTCAAAGAGTACCCCAAAAAAAATAATAACAGTGTTATGTGATCTTAATTAAAGAAGTTAATAGATTATTAATAGGTTTATAATGGAGAAGATGCATGATTACTCAAATTTGACCAATTAATTAATTGTAATTAAAGATTCTTTGCTGTTCTACACATGGTATGTCAGATCTAAGGCTTTTCTCGATCTCTATATCAGTTAATTAAGTAATTAACAAAAAAAGATTAACTTCATATTTTTGTTTAATTAATTAGTTGTAATAATGGTTTGACTATTTTGATTATAAAAAATTTTCTTTTTTTTTTTTGGAAGTAAAAAGAGTTTTAAATTATTTCGTTGAAATAAAAGAAAATTAATTTATGTATTTAAATTAAATTTTAAACTCCACTAATCACGTACAAAACCGAATGAGTTGATTATTTAAGTAATTCTATTGAATTTAAACTCAAGAAAATTATACAAAATTAAAATTTATATATATATATATATCTACCTTCTTGATGTTAAAAGCCATGTGCTTAGAGCTGAACCTCTCCAAGCTATCGTAAGTCCGGCGAGCACACCGGAAGGCATGAACTTGCATGAGTTCCGGCATGTCGGAAACCAACACCTTCACCTGAAGGAACGTCGCCACCGACGCCAAGTTAGCCTCCGCATGAGACACCGATTTCCTACTTCCCTCCACGACGACGACGCCGCACATCTCTCCTCCTCCCCCTCTCTGCATCCGGCAGCCGTTCTCCGTTTCTTCAGAATTGTTCATCGTCGACCCTTTGATCTTTGCCGCCGGCGAACAACTTGGGTTAGTCGTGGGATTGTTCGTTAACTGGTCCGGATCATGACGGCCGGATTTTTTCGGCTTGTGATGTTTATAAGAGGCGGAGAATCTGTAGAAATTCATCAAGAACGACGCCGTTTTCTTCGTTGGCTTAGTAGTACTCGCCATCTCCTGGGTAGCCATTTCTATGGAGTTTGAAGTGGTGCATTCAGGAACACTCTCCTCAATTGGTCTTGATGGGTAAAGGGTATTATATATATAAAAAAAAAAAACTGTGTGTGTGTATATATATGCGGGTAGCTAGTCAATACGTTTATACACAAAAAATACATGTATATGTATATGTATATGTAACAGCAGGGCATGTGGGATGAAAGATATAAAAAAGGGTGGTGGGATTGGGGAGAGAGTTGATGATTATTAGTGTTTTGGGGCATATTTGTCTCCAATGGCTTTGTTACTGGACAGCCCAACATGCATGGCCTCCCCTCATTATTTACTTATAATTAATTTATATAATATATATATATATATATATAGTTTTAAGCTATGATAGTTGACTTATAGACCAAATTAATTTAATTCGTTGCTCCATTAAAGGAGCCCATTTCCCAATCATTTGTCTCACCCATCAATCAAACATTCTAAAGAAAGAAAATGCATTTTCTTCACTGATTTAGGCCCTTATAAGTATATATATATATATATATGTATATATATGTACATGTATATGTATATAACCCAATAAAGGATCCATAAGACAAGGTAG